CTAAACATCTGGCTGACTGCGCGATCAACAATAATAGAATTTCTGACTATTAGATATCTCATTCAGTCTGGATTTATACAGGACTATCACAATTTTGACACTATTGGATTTGTGATTGTTGTTTTTGCTCTAACTCAAAGTAAGTAGAATTCAATAGTTACAATTTCTTTGGAAACTGAAAACTTGTATTTGCTAGGAAGTTTATTAGGTGCTTTATTTTAGGTTTCTCCAAAATGTTATACATTGGTTTAATATGGTTTATTTAACCCACAAATCACAAAATTATTATTAAAGATAATGCCTTCTCCTTGGATATATTTGTGTTGTGGTCAGGGGTACCTAGGAGGGTCAAAATCAGTAAGATGGCTGACAGTGTTGTGATGCAGACTCTGCTTGTTTTGTATGTATGTCAAAGTCACATGCAAGTTCAAAGAGGGTGGGGCGTGCATTACAACACTCTGGCACCATCTTGCTGATTTTGACACTACCATCCTTGCACAGCTGGTTGTGGCATACGACCAAACATGCTCTTTTTCTCTCTTTCGTTTAAATCTTGCTTTAAAACTTCTTGCCAGTGCTATTATGACTTCTGAAAGTCTTAAAGGAATTATAGAAGGGGTGGGTTGGCAGAGCATAAGATTTTGCTTTATATTTATAAAGATAAGCCAAAAATGTCATACATGAGTTTGATATCATATACAGTATGTTTATAACATATGGAGTTTCATATCATATATGTTTATGACATATGGAGAAAATCTAACTATGTGGTTGCTAGGAGTCGAAAATGACTTGATGGCAACATAATCATCAATCAATGTTTATAACATGGAATACATCAGACCTGATGCCATTCAGTTGTAGCAATCCTTCTAATGATATGGACTAAGTCTTTAGGTTGTGTTCTATTTCCCTCATTTATCTTGGTATAAATTTTCTTAGGAAGTTCTCTCAGTAAATTTTAATTTATCCTCTATCTTGATACAAATGAATGAAGATCTAGACAAAATGTCTATAGTTCCTTTGAGTATGTGGAGTAAGATAAATGTAATTCAGGTGAATTTAGCCCCAAGGTTGATTTGTATTTTGAAGTTCCTATTTTTATTCCATTATATTACTTTAAGCAAATATACAGGACATTAAATACATTTCTTTGGCAAGCACATCCTGTGAGATTTTAATTATGAAAATTGCAATGATCTGTTGAAAAAGGTAGATTTAATTTTCCATACTTTTTTAGGATTACTGTTGGGCATGTATTTTAGGTTCAATCATTGGCTTGAATAAGGAACTGGAAATTCAGAAATTCCTCTTTGGGTTCATCTTGAAAGTTATTTCATCCCTATAACTCTGGGAAGTACTGAGATCCTTATTTATCACTTTTAATGCCACAATGTATGCATGGAAAATATTGGATTGCAGATCAAATTATGACACTTTACCCATAAAAAGCAAGTTAACATTATGGCGTAACCCTAGAGGAAAAATGGGTCTGTGTAAAATAAGTCTTTCATTATTATTTAGGATCAACTCAGTTCAGCTGTTTTTAAAATTATAGGAGATTTAAAAACCAAATTTAGGTTACCTGAGAGGGCTTCTTGGCAGTTTAGTTAACTCAAGCACTTGATGTTTGGACTATCTGATCCAGGTGACATTGCAGTTTTTGAAGTCCTGTTGTGGTGGGAGGTTTTGGAGGGATCTATTGAAGCTCCTTAACCAGTAGCCTATTTTTACAGGAGTTGAAGGAAGTTGATGATATTGACCTGACCTGGAAATCTAGATGTTCCAGAGCTCAACCAAATGGTCCCATGCATTGGACAGAAATCTGTAGTAATTTGCATTATACAAATGACATCACTGGGCTTAATTTGCATCATTTGAGACACAAAGTCCTCACACAAGTGATGTAAATGCTGTACAGATATATTCTTTGATTCAGTAGACCAGATTTTCAGGAACAACAGGCACTCCTTCCCCACAAATGTGTTTAGAGTAAGGTTTCACTATAAATACTGATGTGATCTCTGGAATAATGAGCTTGAATATCCTATTCTGGTAAACCAATCGTAGACTGCTGTGATACTTGGCTGGCCAATCTGTAGCTCCAAACCCTGAGCTCCTTTGCTGTGTCCTGCAGAACTTCTTGCTATTATTGTAAAAATTGGTGATAATATTTCTCACCATCTTACGGTAGAAAATGCATTAGAACTACAGCAAGTTTTACAGCAGGCTTAACAGAGTTTAAAGTCTGAAGACCTTGAAACCCCCCTCCCTCCAGCATAGTGTAAGAGCTCAAGCAGGTGACCACATTTGGCTTCTCATTATGTATGTCCCAACTCTTTGCTCACATCTCTACATAGATTACCTTTTTTCACTGCCTCTCTTTCTTCAGTCATTTAGAGCCTTCATATACTGCAGGGTTCCATTTCATAGATCCAAGCTTCATGCTTACTCAAGAGTCAGTCCTATTCAGTTGGAGTGGCCTTCTCCCAGGTCCATAAATAGAGGATTGTAGCCCACATTTCCAACTACCACCTGCTGCTGCTTTATTTTCAGAGACCTTTATGAAAAGAGACCTGGGAGTGTATGCTTTAGACAGTGTTCTCTAATACAAAGACCACGTTTTGTTCCTTAGTGGGGATTTTTCCCAACCTGTTTACTGTTCCACGTGGAGAAAGGTATAGGCTTGTAGTCAGCAAAAAGAAATGTAGTGGGTGGGAAAAATTGGTATGTCTTTAGGAGAAGTGGGGACAGGAGAAAGAAAATAAATCCTAGAATTGCATTTTGGAAATGAAAAAGAGAGGATGAGAATAAATGTCTCATCATTTTGTTTCCCCAGAAACTTTTCTTTCCCCCAAAACTTCAGATGCCTCTGACTGATTGCCAACATTTTGAAGACAGGTGAGGAATAGAAAGGGAACAAAAAGAAGTAGAGCAAACAGACGAAGTGGAGGAGCACAAAGCTTCTAAACCAAGGAAAAGATTACAGAGGTGTACTTGGGAAGAAACCCAATTTCTTCTCCACACTGAAATTCACTTTCTATTTCTTCCTCTCTGAGCTGCACATGTACAACAGGTGAAGAAAATGGCAACCTTACAGTAAAAATGTTGTTGATGGGTGGGAGAAACTGCATCTCCCCAGTTACATCAGTCTGCCCCATCAGATCTCGCAGAGAAGGCATGCTGCGGGTACCATCGGCTCGGGACCTGCATTTGGTGGGTCCCAGGAGACATGACTTTTCTGCTGTGGCGCCCGTCTTATGCAATATCCTTCCTCCCAAGATTAGATTAGCACCATCCCTTTTGCTGTTCTGAAAGCCCCTCAAGACCTGGTTATGTGATCAGGCCTGGGGCTCCCAGGGAACCAGCTTAGAAGGCTCCATTGCCAAGGGGGCCATCTTTATTCTCCCTTCCCCTATGGTTTGTATTTCTGTTTTTTTTATGGTAATTATTAATATTATTTTTTGTATTTTTTCTGTTGATTTAATATTTGTCTTTTTATCTGATTGTTGTATGCTGCCCAGAGTCGCTTCAGGAGATGG